CACCTAGGTCAAACTGTACTAACCAGATGCAAACCAGCCCTATATATGGAGAAAGAGAATGCACAGGCACATGTGGCTTTGTATAACTTATTGCTTTAATATTAGAATATTTTAAAATTTTAAATATTGCTAACATTACTAAAAATTGAACATGTCATGTGATTGTTTAACATTTAAAGATCCAAGTTGAAACAACTAAAGAACTCCTCCAGAAAGAAAGTTGTATGTCATACCTCCAACACGATGTGAGCTAGCCAAATTCAGCTGTAGTTTTCAATGTCCGTTTAAAATACTAAATATAGTTATTGTATTAAATGAAATACTCTTTTCTGGTGCTTACACAAACTAATGATACCCAAGAACAAACAGGGGGATATTCAGAAAAGACATTTGGTTTGTTTGGAAGAGAAGCAGTCAAAACCCATAGGGCCAAATTTTCAACACATGGCTTCTGTTTGAGCTTGCACATCAGTGTATGCTTCACTTGCAAGCACAATTTTTATGTCTAATCACTTGTTATTACATATGATAATTTGCATATTCATTGCGTAAAAAATACCAAGCACAAGTAGTTTTTGCATGTGCACATTCCATAATATAGATAAGTGATTCAATGCCTATTAGGTAAATGGAAAGCCTCCCATCAACTCCAATGGGCTTTGGATCTTACTTTATACACACTGATAAGTGTGTGCAATCAGTTTGTGCATGGTGGCCCAAGCACATGAGTTAATGCCCTTTGAAACACAGGCCTTTCATCTTCTTGGAATAGCAGATTTTTTTTTCTTGTTTTTGGCCAAACTGGGGCTGAGGCAATATGCACTGTTTCAGTATGTAGAAAAAATATTCTCCTGTTACCACCAATTTATAACAGATTAGCAGAATATTTTGTTTATTTATATATATATATATATATAAAGTTTATTCATTCAGCTACAGTCTCCTACCATGACGTATACAAGTTTAATGTTAACTGAACATTTTAAAAACAAACTGCTTGTTGGTTTCTCTTTTTACTTTTGATTTAATGCAAAAGAATTATACAGAGACAGTCAGAGGTATATGTCTGGCCATGCCAAATTCAGCAAAACACTTAAGCACGTGATTACTTTTAAGCATGTGCTTAAGCCCTGTTGACTTCAATGGCAAGTCAAGCCCCATTTACTTCAATGGAACTTATATAAGTGCTTATCTTTATGTACATCCTTAAGTGCTTTGATAAAGATGGGAATAGTCACATGCTTAAAGTTAAGCACAAGCTTAAATGTTTTGTAGAATTGGGCCTACGTCCTCTAAGGTCTTCTCCTTATATTTATGGAATAGGACCTAAAGAAAAGAAAGTTAGATGTAATAAAATACTAACAACCCATTTTCTCACCTTGAAGTATACCAGATTTCATAAAATGTTTACTGATTTTTTTCCAAAATAACATACTCCCAAACACCATTTTAAACAGGCTTCTCCCCATATAACATTCAAACACTCTGAGTTAGAGAGATATCTCCATTCCTACTTTTTACCATCCTAGAAATGAGGCTTCCTGTATCATGACTCACACTTTGAAAGGGGACATCACATTTCTATTTTATGTTTTTCTTCAGACCTCCCTTGTTTTCCCCAGCTGAGGCTACTGCAGGAAAGTCTGACTAATTTGAGGACAAAGCACATTTTTCATATGTATACAGAGCTAAACACAGCGCTTCATGTTTTCAGCCTGTTGTAAAAAAAAAAAAAAGGGCAAATGAGTTGCTGCTTCAGCTGAAATAGTGGAATGGGTCATATTGCAAAAGCATTCACATTCATATGACTTTAAATGCAGATTTAGTACTGAGAAATTCTGTGCTGAACTGACTTTTGTTGAACATAAACAGTCACTGAAAACAAGTTCTAGCTGAGAGAGGCAATGCTTTTACACTAGGGCTGCTTTTACCTAGAAATAGATGACCCAAAGAGTGACTCATCCTAATATGTTTATCAGGTAGGCAAGTTATTTTTTTTCAGTGAGAACGTATCAATTGAAAGTTAGTCTCAGTCACTTTCTTCTTACCATCACATCCTTAAGTCAGGTAAAGTAGCAAAAAAGCACTAAATTTGGATTTTCCATGTTACTTTTTGTCTTGTGATGACCTCTCCTGGTTGAGCTGTTCATTAGCCTTGATGAAAACAGTTGAGAGATTTGATCCCCTTTCTGTCTATTAAATATTGATCACAAATATACCATATGAAGAACTTATTGATGAGGTTTTGTAAAGATAACTATCAACCAAATTAAAAAGCAAACATGAACAAGGGAGGGTTATGGATAATACTATATTAGTTTATTGTATTCAGTGCATGCTTATTATACTAAACACCCAGATTCACATTCCACAATTCATCTTTGGGTTATATTTTATCATTATCATACTATGTTTATTTTCACACTGACACAGACGTAGTCAAACTAACTGACAGGCATCATATCAGTGAAATAGAGAGGCTTAGTGAAAGTACAGAGAAAATGAAAATTTGATATCCAGTCTGCTCCCGCAAGTGAAACTAGATGAAAAATGAGAACTCAGGGTTCAATTCTGCTCTCACTGAAGCCAATGGGAGTTTGATATGTATTTCCATGGGAGCAGGATCAGAGAAGGGAGTAATAGATACAAGTGTCTTATGCAAATATTTAGTATATTCATAATACACCAAACATACAGTCTACGTTCTAGAAAAAAAATGTAAAAAGATTGTTTATATTCATGTTTTCCAGTAGCGAAACAGTAGAGATTTTTTTTAAGCTTTTAGTAGTGGGCCTAAAACAATAGTTTGGGTGGAAATTAGTTGTATGCTAAAATTATAAATATTCCTTTTATTTCATTAAGTCTATAAATCCTCCACAGGTATTCCCACTCCGTCTCCACAAGTCAGAACCAAGAAGAAAACGGAGGCAACTGGCTTCTCTTCAAAGATAGAGCGTGGTCATCAATTCAATTTACAATTAGCTGGAGACAACAGAATTAAAAAACACAAAATACTCAGTTTGTATACCGAAGTATGCAACAGAATATCCAGTTATCTGACAGACATCATGATTTATGAGTGCCTACTCTAGAACCATTTCATTAGCACTGGGAATGGCAAGTACTATAATATTTCTGAACAGACATGAATGCATTTTTCATATGCTATCATGTTCATAGTCTTGTTGCCAATGGTAAGGGAGACTGATATCTGTTTGTAGCTATATTTCCATTGCCTATAAACCAATCCACATTTCACTTTTAGTGAATCAGAAAAGTGTGAACTCTATACTCAGCATAAGGAGTTTGGGGTCTAGTGCTTTTTCAGATTAATACATTGAGTATCTGCAAAGATCTAAAAACAAAACAAACATACAAAAGTGAGTTTTCACTTTTTATCATTAAGACAAGTATGCTCTTTTACCTGCCTTTATTTTAGAAGTATTATCTTTAATAAAAACTTATCAAACTTTTTCTAAATGTTAAACATATGCTTACTGTATAATCAAATACTATGACAATTTTAAGATACTGTATGTTGTTCCCAAATTTAAACTTGTAGCAGAACTATAAACATTTGCTACAGCATTATAAAATACATATTACCTAAAATTGCATGGGAGTTTATGACCCAAGAACAGAATTATGGTAACCTAAGTTACTACGTCTTTTTCTGCGTATTCCAGTTATGCACAATGACCTATTACAAAGTATGAACATTCAGAACAAAACTGAGATGAATAATCAAGTCAAAAGTAATAATTTTCAGTACTGGTATTGCTCCCGAGGGAAAGGGGAAACTATCTGAAGACAAGACTATAGCCTGAGAGGCTTAGGATACAGTAGAGTGTCTGTTTTTTATCTCTCTGGTTTAACACATATAATGGTCTAAATATATGGCAAATCCTGGGACAATCACATTAGATTTTTTTTTCAGAACTGACCATATGAAATGGGGAAAAAAAACAGTGAGTCAGGTAAGTACAGTTGTATTCCGGATCCCAAACCTAACAGTTTTGTTCACCACCACCACCACCCCCAAAAAAAAAGAGAAAGAGAGAGAGAGAGATCCTCTCACACCTCCATACAACATGCATTCCAAAACAATCCGCTGCTTGATCAGGAAAATGGTCATACGTCCCCCCCCCCATATGTCACATTTTAACATGTTCTTATCTATAAAACGGCTATTTTCCCCAAGTCTTTTTTCCCCGCTAGCACCGCAGATCCTGTGTAAACGCCACACATCGTTTCAGTATCTGTTTCAAAAATACCATTCAAATGGCACGTTCTCTGCATCGGCTACAAAGAAACAACTAAATACTTCACAGTGACATCTACCTGCGAATATTTTGTTGCAAACTAATCGCTCATTGCAACATTAAAGGTTTGATGCCCCCATTGAAATAAACGAGTGCGCTGTCATTACTGGCAGCAGGATCCGGTCCTATACAGGTGCTTTGCTCTCTTAAGTTCAGCAATTTTTCTGCTTTTTAACTATTTCGCTAGCACTTCTCACTGTGAGCGCAACGGCTGGTCAGCGCCAACCTAACTTGGAAAGCAAAACTTCACTCCCAAGACAACGGCATCTTGCCTCAGCTCCCCCCACACAAGCCACCAGCTGTCTTTCCCTCCCCTCAAAGTATCAAGCTTTTTCATTCTCCAAAATGCAAACACCCAAAACTGGTTGCGGAATTTGCCCACGTCTCCCTTTTCCCTCACACAGCCGTCCAGCTCCAGTATTTGCAGATCCCAATTCCCAACCCAACTAACTGGGGAAAGAATGTTAAGTCCACACTGCAGCCCCCGCCAGCTCTCCTGTACCCAGTTCCCAACTTCCACTAGCATCACGCAAATCAGCTGTGCGTTCCTCCACATAGGCGCCCGCACACACCACACCAAACGAGCCCGAAACCTAGAGACACCTCCCTCCGGAGCCACCGTGGGAATCTTAATGCGGAGCGGAAAGTGGGGAAAGGTTCCTGTGAAAGGCTACTTACGGGATGCAGGGAGCGCCGTCCTGGCTCTGCAGCTGATGCTGCTGAAAATCCAGAGGAAGAGGGCTGCCCTGCAGCCGGCTCGGGGAACCACAACCATCCTTCCCTTCCCGGCTCCCTTTACTCCAAAGGCCAGCCGCAGAATAGCTGCTTTCCTCCACTTTTCCTCCGTCCCTCTCTCTTTGCTGTGAGGAGGCAATGGGGGTGGGGCAGGGCTTTGCCTTGGGGGAGAAGCCAAACCCCCTCTTCGCCTCCTGCCTCTGGGTTTGGAGCAGCACAGGGTAAGCCCCAATACTTTTCTTTCCCTTCTTGCTGTGTGCGCGCCGCCCTCGGACGCAAAAAAATAAAAAAGAAGACGAAGAAGAGCCGAAGGAAGAAGCAAGGAGCGGGGAAAATAATAAAACACTCACAAGAGGGGGAAGGAATGGGGAGGGGGGCAAAGAAGAGGGGGGAAGGGAGCAAAGACACTGGTGTTGTTAATGCTGCTGCCGCCACTGCAGCGCAGTCCTTCCCTCCGCACAGAGCAGCGGGGCTGACAGACGCTTCCAAGCAGCCTCCCCGCTCGGGTATATATAGATAGACACAGCCGGTGCGCGCGCACGCACACACCGACCCGGAGCCTCGCGCGCCCTCCCAGGCGCGCGCGCGCACCCTCCCAGAGCGAGAGCCGCTCCCGCCGCAGAGGGGGCGGCTCAGAGCCGGCCTGTCCCCGCTGGAGGAAACACCGCCGCGGCCAGCAGCGGCAGCCGAGGCTAGCAAAAAAAACAAACAAAAAACCACCCACCAAAAGCAAAACCCGGAGTGGAAAATCTTCCCCTGCCCTCCCCTCTGCTTCACTCCCTTCCCCGGCTCCTCCCTCCTCCTCCTCCTCCTCCCCCGGGGCCCTGGCTCGCCTCCCCTTGCTTTTCAAAGCAAAAGCAAAAGGAAGGCGCTGCGTGCGCTCCGGGCCGGGCAGAGGTGAGGCGAGGGGACAGGGGAGGCGGCCGCGCGCCCTCAGCCCCGGAGGTGGCTGTCCGTGGTGATGAAGTTGGGCGCGCAGGGCGCCGAAGCTTGCAGCGCGCCCCCTCCCTCCCGGCCGCCTTTCCCTTCCCCGGGCCAGCACCACGGAAAGAGTCGGCAGCCCTCCTCTGCCGCCTTGTCCCTTCCCGCTCTGCTCCCCTTCGCGTGGAGATGGTACAGGCTCGCGGTGCTCCAGCCTCCTGGGATCCCCAATCAGGCCAGTCTTCCGAGCGGTCCTAATTCTGAGGGGCTGAGCAACACCCCGCCTGCGAAAGAGCTGGGAGGGCTGCAGAAGCCTCTAATGCAGATGTTTTCATTGTGGAATTACCCAGCGCTTAGCGGGTGCCACGCTGAGCCCCAGCACCTCCAGGTTTGGCAAGTCAGAGCCCTGGCAGCTCTGGGCTTGCTGCATCAGTTGTGAATGTAATATATATATATATATATATATATTGCTTGAGCCCCAGCACCTCTTTCGTTACGAATTAAGCAGTGGAATTACAACCCCACACACACACACACACACCCAGAGCGATGTTAAGGTAACATTAAGGTTTTGCCTGGAAGCAGCCCCTAAGGAAAACAGGCAGTGCTAGAGCTCTATATTTTAGGCAGTTTAAAATGCCGCTCTCCAATTTGGGTGTGGGTTGGGGGGCAGGGGTGGGGGTTGGAAACGGCACTAAAAGATACTGCTCTCTAGGCAGGGTAGAATAATGGGCAGGTGGATTATTCATGCTGCAACTGCTGGGGCAAAGAAAAGTTAAAATCACTCATTCACGAGTTACTATTCCACAAGCTCTAGGAAAGGGTGAGTAATGATGGGGGGGAGGGGAAAGGAGAGAAAAAGGGACAGGTTATTTTTGGCATCGCTCTGTGAATAAATTATCAGCGCTAAATTATATGCTATGACTTACTCACCCAGCAGTACCAGTATTTGCTGATACCTGGTGAGGTTGGAGAAGCAGATAACCAATTCTTAGGGTGCCACTTCCCTTAGAGCACTTTGAAAATTCCAGCTAACTATCACTGACTTTAATATATGCTGTGTGCCTAAATCTTAGGCCCCTTTGAGAATCCCAGCCTTAATTTTTTATACATAAATTATGGTCTGCAGAGAGAGTTGATGTCTAATGATTTGAGCCCAGGACTAGGGCTGAGGAATTCCGGAACTCACGTATCAACCCTGATACAGACTTTATACCGGTCTTGGGCAAGTCTCTTAACCTCCCCCCCTCCCCAATTCTCCCCCAGGAGTATAAAATTGGAATATTAATATTTGTCTTACATGGATGTTCTTAAATTAATTCAATTATGTTTGGGAATAATTTTGTATATGACAACTGTATGTATAAAAGAAAAATAACTCTTAGAGAAACTTCCCCTAATTTCCTGCAACCTCCTGATCCCTACACCTTTCACACACAGCTTTTAATATTTACTAATTTTAAAAGCCCTTAGTTTATTTTAGAGACACACACACAGGTTTTAGGTTTTACATCAGTGACCAGGATATGGACAGTCATGACCAGTTGTTAGAGGAGTTGGGGGTCCATGGTTAGAACTAGAGTTATAGCCAAAGTCAGAAATCAAAGTCAAGGGTTCAAAATCAAAGGCCACCTACCAGAGCCAGAAATCAGAACTAAAACTCAGGACCAGGTTGCCTGGAGCAAGGTAACACAGGGAGTAGGCTGGAGCAAAGGCAGGAACAGGACTGGGAACAAGCAGCTGTTAAAACTTAGCAAAGGTACAGGCAGTGGTAATATGTGGGGAGGGGGGCCCCCGAAGGGTCACGTGACCCTCCCCAAAATGCCAAGGCTGGCAGCAGGGGAGATGAAGGGGCAGAACCAGAGCTGGCAGGGAAGAGGCAGGGCCAGTGAACTACTACTACTGCTAGGCTTAAGAGATGGTCACTGACTCCTCCAACCAACCAAACAGCCAATCTTACAGCCTACTAAAGGCCAGCTGCCATCATCTGCTGGAGGCCCTGATTCCTGACATGCATTCATTTGTAATATGTTAACCCCTAAATACATATTTCCTTGTCGAATTCATTTTAAGTATAACACTAAGTTATTTGGTACTTCCATCCTTGCTCCACAAAAGCCCCACCCTGTCTCTTCCACACAGTTTTTCATTTACATATGCTCATCCTTGACTGTTCTGCTTGCATGAAAAAACTTTAGAAAACTTGCTCAAAATTCTTTTTCCTATCCTGAACTTGATGGGTGCCATTTTTCCTTGGCTGCTTCCTGCCTTGAAGGAACAATGAAGAACCAATAGCATCTGCCTCCTGCACAGCCTCCCAGTGGCTCTATTAATTGCCCTTAACTTGCTCTGTCCAGGGTGCTTGCTGCCTTCAGCCTGCAAGGCAGCCAATCCTCCTCAAGCTGCAGGGAGTGACTGAAGCTGCTCTGCTTTTCAGCCCCTCTTATATGGGCCAGCCCAGCCCCAATAGCCAATCAGAGAGGGGCTGTGAGGAGCAGCCTATCTCCTGCACAGCCTCCCAAGGGCTCTATTAACTCCTTAGCACCCAGTGTGGAGCAGGCACCCCATCACAGTGGCATATAGCACAAGTATAGGGTAAAAGAAAGAATGATTCCAAGCAGTGAGGTAGCAGGGACAGTCAAGATTTGATGAAGGCAAAACTCTCAGATAGGCCTGTCTCCCAAAGGCCACAGAGCCTCTCTCTTCTTCAGCACAACACCCCTCACAACCTCAGTAGCAGAGGGAAAACCCTGGTCCACAGGTAACATCCACCTGGAGCTTAGTTAGATTCCTAAGAGTTAAAAAATGCTTGCTGCACACAAGTAATTTTTGTTGAGTTTAATGGGAATTGCGCACACAAGCACGTATTGATGAGAAAATAGATCTTTCTGAATTTACTAGGGCTGTCAAGAAGTGTCTGCTAAATGGAATTAATTCTGAACAGGGCTATATATACACACACAGTATACAAATGACAAGTAGAAAAACAGTATCAGAAAGCTAGAAAATGCAATTAAGAACTTTAAATATTTGTTATGGCCAAATGTGGCAGTCCTTTTCAGGCAAGACACCCAGTGAAGTCAATGGGAGTTTTGGCTGAGTGAGGACTACAAGAGGAAGAAGAAACAAAATTAAAGTGTCTGAATCTGACCGGGGGAGGGGGGGGGAAGCTGTGCTCAGTTATCTTCAACAGCACCATTATTTCTATTTATATATTTCTCTTTTCTATTTTTGGTTACCAAGAGCCCCTTGAAGATCTAAAAATTACCCACATCTGAATTCCACCCGAAATATCAGTGATGGTAAATTTAAAAGCCTCACACAGGAAAGACATATGTAACATATTTCAACCTGTGTCCAAAGAAAACTATGTTTATATGTATATAATTATCTCTCCGTATGAGGGAAAGATCTGTTATGAAGAGTCCTTTGGGTATATTAATATATAGGGGTTGTTCACTAGGACTACCTGTGAAGAAGGATTTTTTTTCCTCAGTGCTTTGTCGCTGATGGAGGCATAGGGGAAAAAAAAACAAGGAAAGGGTACATACTTCCTTTTGGTTGTCTGTATACCTTTTAAAATGTTTATTTTTTCTAGAAACTTAAGGAAAGGAAGTCTTGATAGAAGCAGTCTTTCTTCACCTTCCTAATGTAGGTAAAGGGAGGGAGGGGGCTCTTAATCAGAAGAGGGACATTATCTTCATGCAGCTGAATAGACAGCATATGGGTTGACATTTTTGAATGGTCCATGCACTTTGGCATGATAACTTTTGTTTTCTTTAGATAGCAAGCTCTGTTTAGTTAACCTTACACAGAAAAGTAATGTGTTTCCTTCCATTCTTGTACATGCTTTTTGGCCAAGGTTTTCCAACAGCATAGTCTAACATGAGGTTCATAAATTAAAGTGCCCAGATCTTCAAAAATGCTGAGCCCCCATTTAAGTCAAGGGAAGTTACTGAGTTCTCTGTACTTTTCATAGTCAAGCCACTTATTTAAAAGATTAAATATGGATTTAGGAATCTAACTTTAGACTCCTGTTTTGGAGAATCTTGATTTATTCATTCTACAATGTATAATACAGGCTCTCATCTATCAAAAAGAATCCAAAGTCATACAGTGTGTCTCATGGACACAAACTAGGCCTGACCTTGCACTTGGTTTTCATATTATGAACAAAGAGAAAGCTTACTCATGGTATTAAATCTCATTCCTACTCTATCTTTGACACAAAAAACATCCAGAAATTCAGGCTGTTGTAGAGGTAATTGTTTGCATAGATAACCAGGTTTGAGGCTGTTTTGCAGTTTATTTAGGGTGACCAGATAGCAAATGTGAAAAATTGGGATGGGGGTAATAGGTGCCTATATAAGAAAAAGCCCCAAATATCGAGACTGTCTTTATAAAATTGGGACTTCTGGTCGCCTAAGTTTATTTGCTTTTTGAGAAGCTGCGTGGTTGGTTAAGACATCCCACAAAAGCCATGCAAAATCTGCAATGAGTGGCACGTACAAGGAACATGGAGATTTTTCACTGAAGAACAGATACGATAACTACAGAGATAATAGATGTCCATGTGTCTGTTATTCCATTTTATTCCGAAGCCTCCTGCATTTGGTTTATTATTGGCTGTATTCTGAGCTGAGAAGGGGCCACACTTAAAATCAGGAGTGGGAGAAGTTGTTTATCTTAAAATACAAAAGATGGTTGCTGCCCCCCATTTGTCTGAGCAGCCCAATTTGGTATACTTCTATTTCCTCCAAGATTCACCAGTGTCCTTTCCAAACATGCCCCCTTTTGTGCTGAGATAGCTTTAGCACCCTCTCTAGAACTCAGTCCCCCTGCTCTCTCATGT